CAACCCAGGAATCAAACCAGGGAATCCTGCATTGCAGGAGGATTCTTTACCAACTGAGCTATCAGGGAAATCCATTAATCACCTCTATGCCAATAATTTTTTTTTTTAATTTTGTAAAAGCATTCTTGGATGTGAGGACATGTCATTTGTTTCCTTGTGGGAAATGGCTAACGTAATCTATAGTCAGGCAGGTGGAAGGCTCAAGGTATTTCAACTGCCCTCTGGAGGGTATTCTCTGGAAAGATGGAAGTTTCCAGAAATCTGCAGGCTGCAGAATAGCAGAGAGCCATCCCTATAGGCTTCCAAGAGTCAAATGTCAGCAATTTCCTATGGCTCAATCTAATAAAAGAGACCAAGGACTTGAACCCCCTCAGAGGACATGGGGTAATTAACAACTCCACAGATTAGTCCTTAGGAATTTAATTCCAAGCATGAGGGGACATAAGGTTCAAAAAAACCTGGTTATCTATTATGCACTGAATTGTGTCCACCCCTGTCCCCTCAATTCACATGTTAGTCCTAACTCTTAGTACTTCAGAATGTGACCTCACTTACAAGTAATTTTTGTTTATTTTTCAGAAGTAATTACTTCAGGTGAGGTCATGCTGGAGCAGGGTGGACCCCTAACTCAATGTGACGGTGTCTTTATAAAAATAAACTTTGGACACAGAGACATGCACATATGGGGGAACACCACATCAAGATGAGAGTTATGGGGTCAAAAGCCAATGAGCCACCAAAGCAAGGCCTGGAACGCACCTCTCCCAGCAGCTTGAGAGATGGTGAGGCCCTGCCAACACCTCTGGAGCTCTGAGGTTACACGTTTCTGATGGTGAAGCCACTCAGATTGTGGCGCTTCGTTAGAGCAGTTCTAGCAAATTAACATGTGGCCTGAGAGGGCTGTGCTCCTTTGGAAAGAAGGCCAAGGCTGGCTCTACATCCAGCAACTCAGGGCCTCACAGAACACATTTCCCCAGGTCTGAGTGTGGCTGCCCATGGAAGGGAGGAGGGACCCAGGTGAGTGTCAGGATTCTCTACGATAATGCTAAAAATCCAAAAGCCCATGTCTGTGCCCAGCTCCATGTTTTCCAAAGCTAGTGGATCCTATGGCACTGGGAGGGGGAAGGCAAAAAATTAGGAGTGAAATTACATCTCTAAATCTTCTAGGCCCAGAAGAGTTTCCTGTAGTGCCTCCTAGGAAGCCTTCACATTCTGTGCCATCTTTGGGTTTAACTCACTGCTTGGAAAGATCTTGAATATTTGATTTTGGAGAAGTGTTTTCTGTCCTTTCTATTCTGTGCATGTGAAAATGAAGTTGTGATTTGATACTCAAAAGGAAAAATAGATTATTTTGCTGGTAAATAGGTTTTTTTGGATCAATGATTTGGAGAAGTGAAGGCTGGAATTGGTTGCCAGGAGGCAGAGCATCCATCTCCAACAGATGAGACTGATTCTCTGCAAACTGCACTGAGTGTGATGATGTTAAGATAACCAACTACACATTTTCCATGTGGATCTTTAAAACACAATATCAAATGTAAAATCTGCTGGTACGTGGCCTCCAGAGAGAACACGTTTTTTTCCCTTTCCAATCTAGATTGTTGTAAGGAGCTCTGGTTCTGACGGCTTTAGCAGTTGACAGAGCCTATCAAATTTTTATTACAATCCCCAGAGCTGGAGACAATGCAGATCAGTTTACTGGATTGTGAGCAGATTTTCCTTGAGGGGAAGAATATGCTCAGCATTGTTGCTTCTTTGCAAACAGTCTTGCAGGATGGGAGCAGCTGTTCTGCAAATTATATTTTTGATGGAGAGGGAAGTCTACCTTTTACTCATTGTATCCTCAAGAGAGCAGGCAAAAATGCATAGAAACACACTTTTGGAATTGTCCCCATCTCCCTCCTTGGGCTCTCTGTTCCTTGCTTCCTTTTTTCTTCCCTAATTCCATTCTTGATCTGTGCTGTGAGAGGAGAGGGCTTTTTAGGCCTGAGTTTCTTCCTTTGATGCTAAGGAAAGTGTAGAGGAAAATATCAACTCTCGTACAGGGGCCAAAGGCAATTCCTTTGCTGTTGAGGATTTCTGGTGCAAGGGGATGAGCCAGAAACTCTTTCAGGTGAGAACAGAGAGGGGAGGTGTCTCAGTGGTCTGCCACCCATCCCTCGGGGTAGCTGCTTCAGCAGAATCCTGGCTGCAGGAAGGTTGGAGCTACCGCAAGTTGAGGTGCCCGAGGCCCAGGACTCAAATGCAGATGTTATGTCAATCAATGCCAATTTGGCCAGGAAGATTATTTTAACCTTGGAATGTCACTTTATGTGTTTCAATAGAAGGTTCATTACTTAATCTCCAGGAAAGTTTCACTCAGCGCCCAGTTTCTCTCTGGGCTTATTTGGAGAGCCAGACCATCAGGCATGTGATGAATTGCAAATTGAAACAACTTCAGCATCCACAGTAGGTAGGGGTGGCATGGGGTGGGTGTGGACACACCAAGTGCAAACCACAAATCACTCGCCGTGGTGTGTTTGCCCCTTTATTTTGTGGAACTGAGGGTGAGGAGGCGGTGGTTACAACCCAGAAAGGGAGTCAGGAGAGGGGTAGGTTTGGGGAAGGTGGGTTACACCTCCTCCATCCATCCTGTAGGCTGACCTCAGAGAACAGCCTGATCTCAGTGGAAGACCCTAACTACTCTCAGAAGGAAACAGTCGAGCTTTTGGAAAGTTCCCTTCCATTAATTTCCAGGAGGGTCTAAAGACTTCTGATGTTACATGGTAACGATGTTTCATCTGGGGAAGAGAAGCTAAGCTCTCCCCTGTTTACACAGCCATGCTCTGATTCTGAGGTCATCTTCTGAGCACAGGTACACTAAATACCTTGAGCCCCAGTCTTCTAAGGGTAGTAACAACAGCCAGAGTTCTCTTAGGTGTTGCTGTTGTTTAGTTTCTAAGTCATGTCCACTGTTTTGCGACCCCCTTGTAGCTCTCTAGGGTCCCTTATCCACGGATTCTCCAGGCAAGAATGCTGGAGTGGGCTGCTATTTCCTTCTCCAAGGGATCTTCCTGACCCAGGGATCGAACTGTGTCTCCTGTGTTGCAGGCAGATTTTTTACTGCAGGGCCACCAGGAAAGCCCTCTTTTAAGTGAGGCAACAGCTAAATTCAAAGAACTGGTTTGCTGTCAGAAAGATTCTCCACTCACCTGCCCTGGTCAGCCCTATTTTGGCGGAAATAAAATCTTAAAGTTAAAAAATTTATGTTCTCAACTTTAAACTCTAAAATATAAATGCACTATATATCTTCATTTAAGGGAAAACTGACTCATTGGCAAGATAAACTATGTACAGAAGTGGTGTTAAGAGACTTATGTACAGATATGAGCATTAAAAGCTGTGCAACTCACAGCAAGTGTTCAAGTAGCTAAGTAGCAACTTGGTAAATTTTATACTAAGGGTGGTAGTAATATATTGTAGTCTTCAAGTTTTTAGCTGACACTGTGACATCAGAGCAACTCATTCTCATTGTTTTGAAGTATTTACACTAAACCCTGTTTTGTACTAATAGATGTCATTACAGAAACACACCATATCCTAACTGATTAATTTTAGATATGCTTCTCTCACTTGTTTTCATGGAGGCCAAGGCTTATGGTTTTGAAAAGCTAGTATAGATAGACCTATTCAGAAAATGCTTACTAAAGAATCATAAAATATACCTCAAACATTCTTCCTAATATACATTAGAATAATGAACATTCCTTTCCATTTTCCCTGGAAAATCCAAGTAAATGAGAAAATTTAAGACAGGATTATTCAGGAAGTGGAAGAGACTTTCCAAGCTTTTGATTTTAAATTTATCAGCCACAAACAATCCATGTCTTCATGGTGAACCTAATCTGATGAAAGAAGAAACAGATCACCAGCCCAGGTTGGATGCATGAGACAAGTGCTCGGCCTGGTGGACTGGGAAGACCCAGAGGCATCGGGTGGAGAGGGAGGTGGGAAGGGGGACTGGGATGGGGAATACATGTAAATCCATGGCTAATTCATTTCAATGTATGACAAAAACTACTGTAATGATGTAAAGTAATTAGCCTCCAACTAATAAAAATAAATGGAAAAAAAAAAGAATTGGGGCTTGGAATTAATTAGCGTGTCATTTAACAAACGTTTTTCTGATCACCTGCCACTTTTGAGGGCTCTGCTGGTATGGGCATCGTGTTTCTTTGGGATTTTAAACAAAGGAGCAAGAGCAGTCAACAGGAAGGGGACCAGGAACACAGGAGAGACATAAAGGGGAGTGGCTCCACATCTGCAGCTTATCAATGATACAGTGTGATACTATAGGGGATCTGAGTCAGTGGCTGGAATGCCCCACACAAAGTGATCAGATCCCAAACGTGACAGACGATGAGTCACTCGATGGTCTCACTTGGGTGTCTGAGTCCCACTTGGCTGCTCACACCCATTCTTCTCCATCTGCTGTGCTTCCTGGCAGAACTGGGGGCAAAGCTCTCGGGCCCTTCCAGATCATATTCCATCCAAACCAACTATAATTTAAAACCTTGGGGAAGTTAAAGTGGCTCCTTCCTAAAAGGTGGGAGATTTCAGTCTTGACCTAGAGTGTATCAACCTTTGTTTGAGATTTTAGTGTAGCACCTGGTAGTTTGGTAAGAAATCTATCACCTGTTGCACTACTCAGAGTTCTAAGAAAGTAAATAACCTCTTTCTGCCCTCAGGGAAACTAAACATATGATGCTATCACTAGTGAAACATGGTTTTGCATTAAGTTTTTTACATGAAGTTTTGTAAACTTTGAAATGAATTTTTTAAAAATCCTGGTTTTGTAAAAAGATGCTGAGCAAAATAGCTTTTTGGAAATATATTTTAATTATAGAAAGATGTTAAGCACATGTGATTACGCTTCAAGGTCTGAGCAGTTAGCAATTATTTTTCAAATATCACATCACATAAAATCTCTGTATTCAAGATGTGAGTGAAAGGAACCATACCTTGTGATAATATCCATCAAGAGTCTGTGGCATTCCTTGTACTCCAGGGGGTCCCTGTATTAGAAACAAATCAAAGGCATATATAAACATTTATCAAAACAATGTATATGTAAATAACATGCCTAAGAATTCTTGAAATCTTACAGGTAAGAAAAAGGAAGAGTCTGTTTAAGTCAAGTATTCTTATTAACAGAGAATTACATGGACATTAACTTATCAGGTTCTCAAATATATTTCTAGGTTAAATCCTACCTGAATCCAAAGAAAGGTCCTAACTGGGAACATGTGACATATTACTAGACAGTCAGTCATCAGCATATTCTTTATTGAAGGGAATTGTACCCATAAAACTCCTCAAGGGAAGAGCTGAAGAGCTCCACTTTATTGTTGACACTTCTTAGAAGCCTTTGATCAATGTGTTATAGAAATAAATGTGTGCCGTTCATGTGTTATTAACTTAAAAAATAAAGGAAAAGCAGTTTTCTTTTTTCCTATTGCTTCTTTTTGAATTAGTTGGATAAAAATGGGCTGCCCATGAACCTTCAGGCCACAAAAAGATATCTGCTATATAATGTCAGGTTTAAGACATTTAAGTACATGTGGTTTTCAGCTGACATGGAAATATTTATGAAGCACTATGCTGAGCTGCAGGCAGATACAAAGGAAGTAAAGAAACCAGTATCTCCCTAAAACTTTCAGGAAGAAAGAAGGGGAGCACTTTCTGAGTTTTTCAAGGATTACATTTTGGGGAGAGGGGTATAAGAAAATGCAAAGATTAGCATGATTTTAATTCAAGTAGTTCAGGCTAAGATAGATTCAGCTATCTAAGAAAAGAGACTACATATTTCACCTACACTTCAAAAGCTTCAAGGAGGAGAGAAAGTGTTAGAGAAGCAAAGTTCTCACAAGGCAAGATGCCACAAGACCGTGATTGAGCAAAGCAAAGTCACTATTATACAAAGATTATTATTTTAAAAAGGGAACAAAAGCTTTGAAAAGTGAAGAAACATTTTAAGAGGCAAGCATTATGGAGAACAATATGGAGGTTCCTTAAAGAACTAAAAATAGAGTTGCTGTGTGATCCAGCAACCCCACTCCTGGGCATACTTCTGGAGAAAAATATAATTCAAAAAGATCCATGCACCCCAATGTTCACAGCAGCATTTTTCACAATAGCCAAGGCCTGGCTAAGTGTCCACTGGGCTTCCTTGCTGGCTCAAATGGTAAAGAATCTGCCTGCAATGTGGGAGACCCAAGGTTGATCCCTGGGTCAGGAAGATCTTCTGGAGAAGGGAATGGCAACCCAAGTGTCCACTGACAGGTGAATGGATAAAAAAGATGTGATACACGTACAACAGAATATTATTCAGCCATTGAAAGGGGTGAAATAATGCCATTTGCAGCTACATGGACGAACCTAGAGAGTGTCATACTGAGTGAAGTCAGACAGAGAAGGACAAATACCAGATGTCATCCCTTATAGGTGGACTCTAAAAAATGACACGAATAGACTTATCCACCAAACAGAAACAGACTCACAGAGAACAGACTTGTGGTTGACAGGCGGGGAGAGGGCTGGATTGGGAGTTTGGGATTAGAAGATGTAAACTATTACAAACAAAATAGATAAATAACAGGTCCTACTGCATAGCACAGGGGACTATATTTGATATATCCTGTGATAAGCCATTATGGAAAAGAATATGAAAATTATAAAAATGAATCACTTTGCTGTACACCAGAAACTAACCCAACATTGTATACCCACTACAATTTAAAAAAAGAAATATTTTAAGAAACATTTGCTCTCTGTACTCACTGATATAGGTAACACCTTAAGTATACTGGAAAAGATTAACATTGGTCAACATTTATGACAGGTATTTCTTATGAACGGCCTGTGACATCTCTTCTAACACGAATCCTTTGCTTGTGCCATTAAACGTTAAGGACAGGAAGATGTAATGATGGATGATGGAATCAGGGTGGTGTAACTTGTGAGAAAATAATAGGCCTTGTGAGGAATGGAGCTTACTGCAGTTGGAAAGACAAATGGCTCTGTTACCTTGCTGGAATCAAAACAGAGCTAATGTCAGAAAAGAATTCTCAAGGCGTTATATATTTTTCAGGTTCTCTTCCCATCAGCCAGCTTTGCGTGATGTAGTCTAGGTCAGGTAGTTGAAGTGAGGAGGAAAGCAATCACTGAGTTGGGATTATTTCACAAAGTGTCCAGCCAAGAAGGTGCAGGTTAGGAACTCATTCTTGAAACTCAGCAGACAGGAGACTCCATACACATTGATCCTTCTGTAACTATTTTTAATGGGGCAAGCAGAAATCTTAGATATCATATATATCTAGTAGTAGCCACAACAGGTAGCTTAGGGGTATATGCCTGGTAGGCATTTGGTGAATGGTGAATGTTTGTTGATCATAAGGCCAATTAGATCAAAGAATAGTGATGTGGTGGGTAAATTTAGTTTCAGACACATTCATCTTAACTAAAAGTGAAAGGCTGAACAATTAAGGTGCCAAATATAGCAGAGCAATTAATAACATCTCTCAACTAGAGCATAAGAATCAATCAAATAATAATAGCAGACATTTATATAGTATGTATTGCGTGCCAGCATTACACCAGTGTTTCAAATAGACTAACTCATTTAATCTCTACAACGACACCACAAGGTACCTACTCTCAAAGGTACAGAAAATGAGCATTTGGAATGGTTAGCTGGCCCAAGGTCACATGACTGGTAAGCGGTAGGGCTAATACTAAACTGAGGCAGCCTGGGTCCAAACTCACTTTTTATTTACTCTGCTCTTTTAACGTAAAGCAGACTCTCAGCCTAAAATAATCTTGGGGGTAATTTTTTTGTCATGCTGACCGTGACCTGAAGAATACAGGGTGTTTGATTGCTCTTGCCTGTTTTACTTACAATACTGAAATTGAAAATAAAATAGGCCAAACTGGGCTTAGCACTTCACATGAGGGAGCACCGTGCCTGGCACAGTCTCTGGGGGCAGTGCTGCTGGAGGGCTGAGCGAGGCCTCTCTCCGTGTCCCAAATCTATCTTCATATATTCTCTCCAGTCATGATAAGGAGCTTTTGCCTGGCTATCCCCCTAGATACTGCCCTATCACAACTATCCTCAAAATGCATCTCATCTTCCTTTGCAGAGCTTGACCGAGAAGGTGGTCAGAGGGCACTGCAGAGGGCCTCTGGAAGGGTCTTGGAGGACGCGGCGTGGTAGGGACTGCACAGCGCAGGACAGGTGGCATGGTGGATGAGGACAGTAAAAATAATGGGATGGGGCTAACCTTTTAGAAAATTGGGTGAGAACTGGCTCTGGTCTTTCACAGACTGTTCATCTGTCTGTGGCATGCACCTGTTTTCCATGAATACAGAATGCATTCTTCACCCAGAAGCCTGTTCCTGTGGGTGAGCACACCCCCCAGGGCGAGGCAGGGGAGCCCAGGGCCACTCTTCCCTCTAAAAACAATAGCAAGAGCAGAGCTGGCCGAACAGGGTCACTGGTCAGCAGAAAAGTCTGAACAACATTATTCAGATACCCACAAGACTGATAAACCTATAAAAGTTACTTCCACACTCTGTCATGTCCTGTTCTTGCCATAAAATGTCAGACTCATACAGCCGTCTTCCAAATGAGGCCAACCAGAAATTTTAGGCTCTGGGGCTTCATCTGCTGATGAGCACTTATGATGACTTTTTTTCTTGTTCTTTCAGTCCCTAGGATACTTTGGGGAGCACAAATTCCAAACATAATGTAACAGAGATTTACAGCTAACAGTCCAGCCTGCAGGCAGCACTTCACACAAACTCTCCCAGAGGACAGGAAAACACTGCGGTGACCGGCAGAAGAGCCGGGATTGGGGCCTCTGTCCTGCCTGACTGCAGTCAGGGCTGAAGTGCCTCCCTGCGCTGCTCAACCTCCACCAAGACGGGGATGGTGACCACAGAGAAACAGCATGCACGCAAATGCCCAAAGCAGTCCTCTGCTGACTGTCAGAGAAACAACATAGACCCCGGGGTCCTGGAATCAGTGGTTGTCCTATAGCCACATCCCCTAGAGATGTGCTATTTTTCTATTTTCTGTGCTGATACAAAGCATGGCTAGAGGAGAGCCAGACTCATTTGTTTCCAAGTTTATTAAGAGCTGTCAGTCCTGCAGATCATCAACAAAGCATGAGGAGGAAGACGTGAAAGACACGTGTAAGTGACTAACCCTCAGGCATCACATGGCGTTAGTAGCTGCTCCTGGGTGCTCAAGAGGTGACTTTCTCTGAGGAAGCTCCCCTGGAGGAGGGCATGGCAACCCACTCCAGTATTCTTGCCTGGAGAACCCCATGGACGGGGGAGCCTGTGGGCTACAGTCCACAGGGTCTCAAAGAGTCGGACATGGCTGAAGCGACAACTTACAGGCATGGCAAGGAGATATGCTTGGGGTAACTCAGTCCCAGAAGAGGGGCCAGCCATGGAGGGCATGTTAGCCTTGGCTAATGTTCTCAGGGGCTCTACGAGGAAAACCAGTTGAAGGTTTATGGAGAAGAAACGTGTCCTGACATCCTGTCCCTGACAATGACCTGCAGCGCAGTTATACGGATATCATGGCTACATAACTTCTGTCTCACTCCACTCTGCTGCTGCCGCTAGGTCGCTTCAGTCGTGTCCGACCCTGTGCGACCCCATAGACGGTGGCCCACCGGGCTCTCCCGTCCCTGGGATTCTCCAGGCAAGAGCACTGGAGTGGGTTGCCATTTCCTTCTCCAATGCAGGAAAGTGAAAAGTGAAAGTGAAGTCGCTCAGTCGTGTCCGACTCTTAGTGACCCCATAGACCGCAGCCCACCAGGCTCCTCTGTCCATGGGATTTTCCAGGCAAGAGGACTGGAGTGGGGTGCTATTGCCTTGTCCGATGCCACCCTGCTTTGCTCTATTTGTGTTGGATTGGGATACACAGGACATGTGGGCTAATGTGATAATTACACAACCACACAGCAGTTTTGAAACACTCATGAACTCCAGCGAGACACACCTG